TGAAAAGAACCAAGTAGGAAGAGGTACGTCTGTCATGACACACCCTCACAATGAAATCATCCTGCTGTCTATAAGGATGAGATCAAGTCAAACTGACATGAGATTGTTACTGTATTGCAGTAAAATTTTCAAAAGATTACAAACCAATAAAAATCATTAAATTTCAAAACCATATTTTGTTTCACTATTTAAAGAGAAAAATATGATATCATAAAAGAATTACTGAAAGTATTACTTCTAGGCAATTGAATTATACTTTCTAGCTTTTATTTTGTGCTTTGGTTTATTTTATAAACTTCTGTGTTAATTACGTGTCCTTTTAGCATGTGAAGTCTTCAGTCATATGAGGTACCAGGTATTGCAATGTATTTCCAAGCTAGACCCCAGAACTTTACATATGCACATACGTGCATACATATTGTTAAATCATAGCACAGTGTTTTAATGAGCCAGGCCAAATGGGGGCACTGGTATTACTTCTTCTAGACATTGTTTTCCTCTTTTGTTCTTTCAACATATTTTAAGAATGTTTACTATATGCCAAGGTTAGATGGGAAGTTTAGGTCAGAGAAGATAAAGCTTGTAGTAACAAGGCCAATTAGGAGTTATTAGGCCAATTAGAGGTTTCACTTAACAAAAGAGTTGATAATTTCTAACAATGAGAGAAGCTGTAGCATTTCATCAATACATATGAGCAAGCAGGGGCTGAGGAAATCTACCTTCAAGACTGGAAATGTATAAAGAGAGTGCTACAGATGTATTACAAATAACCCGAACTTTGGCATTGACTACAGCAACTGAGAGGATTTAAATAGTCACAATCTTAGAATGAAGCAAATTTTACCCATTAAAAAATAATGTTATAAAGTGCTTTCCCTACAGCATTTATTATAGAAATATTTAAGAGTAATATAACTCAGGTCCTTTTATGTATAAACTGACTGACCACCATCCTCTTATTGTCACGTCTGTTTCACATCCCTACACACATAGGAACCCAGCTGCGTCCTAGTAAGTTGGCACAGAATGAACTCAACATTCTAGGGAACCAATTTCCTAGTTATTGTGTTTTTGTTTTCTCAGAAGCCAGCTGAACAACTGCGAACTCCTTCTGGGATCAGTACATCATGGCATTTCTGCAGCGCCTTCGTTACGTTATGACTAAGTGTGAAAGCTGACAGTGACAGACAGGGCAAGAAAGATGGATGCTGCTTTGCTTAGAATGAGCTCCTGTGATGACTGGTGGATTGATAGAGAAATAAACTGGTTGTGTGAAGCGGCCTTAGTATGGGAAGGCGGCTGCTGGGTAAATTGCCCCCTCTGACTAACATGTCATTAAACCTATGTAACCCCATGGAACATGACAAGAAAATGTTACTGACATGTACATTTCAAGTAATTAAGCATCATGTATAGAAAAAACAAAAAACAAAAAACTTGCTCTGTCGCAAGAATCCCTAAGGAAGGCTCTGGTGGGAGATAAGAATAGATTTGAAATCAAGTCTTTGAGGTAAACTAGAAAGCGGTTTAAATCATTTTCTGAAGATAAATGAGAGAAAGAGAGGACTAGAATCCTATATGAGTCTACCTAGATGGTGTGTGTATCCATGTAATTACTTTATTTTTGTTGTACCTATTAAAATCTTAATTATATGCAAAGATTTGTTTCCCAGGGATATATATTTTAAATCTTTATTTCTTAAAATATTTTACCAAACCTGTTCCTAAAGGACAAGGTCTGGGACCATTAGAGAAGCAGCTTAAAGAAAAGTAAATTGGCGCTTTTTTGTTGTAGCATGTTTCAGAGCCTTGAGCATGCTGGCATGAGCTATAATAAATAGAAACTTGATAACGATCCTCCTAGTCTCATAGGACCCCCGACCTGAGTCCCTCTTTTCATAGCACGTGATAAAATTAGTGCTTTTTAAAGAATACGCTTTGCTATTCTATTCAAATACTAGTGTAATACTGGCATGACACAATATTATGTAAGTAACTGACCACTTTTTAAAATTGGACCTGAGTCCCACTCCAAGAGAGAGAAACCATCCTAATACCACTAAAGCAGCCAAGAACCTGAGACTAAATAGTTCATGGGCCCTATGGAGAAAACCCACTACTATTATTCTGCAAAAGGAACACAACAATTAAATGATTCCTAATGACATATTGCTATACCCATGGATCACTGACTCATCATCAGAGATGCTTTTTTCCTGCAGTAGATGGTAATTAATCCAGATCCACAAAATTTCAGCATGGAAAGGGGAGGTGTGAAGGAAGTTCCACCCCTACCTGAGGAGCTACTGGTAATGGACAGCTTCAGCTTTGGGGAGAGGGAGAGTCAGTTTTCCTTTCCACATTTTAGGGGAAGGTCACGCACCCAAGAATATATGGGCAGCATAAAGTAGAGCTGATGAGGAAGAAAAAGGAGGAGGAGGGGGTGGAAGAGGGCAAAAAGGAAGAGGGGAAGAGGAAGAGGAGAAGAAGTCATTGCCACTGAGTGAGGTGGATAGGCAAGGATGCAGATGTTGGAGGAATCAGGGAAGGGGTGAATATTATCGAAATATACAGTAGGAAATTCTCAAAGAAGTAATAAAAATTAAAACATAGTAAAGAATTTGTGCACAGGGCTGTATTTTATTGTTTAAGTTCTTGGGAGAGACTAGCAGGAAAGAGTGAGCCCATCCTATGGCAGTTTATTTTTGGGAACAAAAATTTGGGAATTCAGGGAAAGCATTTGAGTCTGACATTCCATGGTGTTCCTATAAGCAAAGGAAAAAAAAAAAGCATTTGCTACCGAAAATTCTGAGTTATGGTTAAGCTTTGGGCCATTAGAGGGCCCTGCAGGCTTAGTGGATTTTTATTCTCAGTCCCAAGGGCACGGTTGGGAAAGTGTTGCTGTTGAGGCGACTTTTCCATCAGACAGGATAGGTTTTGCTTCTTACATTTGCAGCATCTGGCCAGGATTAACACAAGTGTTTTTCTTTCCCATTAAGTGCCTGATAAAAATAGCCATCAGCAGACATAAACTATCTTCTAAATGGAGGATGACTCACTTAGCAAAAAACCGAGGCAACACTGAAAAGAGTCACTTTGCATTAATGTAGGGGGAAATCTGTACAGATGATCCTGTGCTTTCCAGGTTTCAATACTTGCAATTACTATTTCATTTTTCATCAAGAGTTGCTCTTTCCTCTACTACCCGTTCATCTGTGCACTGCCCAAAACATTATTACCCAGATTTCACAATCCATTAGCTTATAGTGTATGCGCCAACATACAGTCCTCTAAATGCAGCTAAATGATAGGCACACAACACGTAAGTGTTCAAAAATCCTACATGAGACACTTGAAATAAGACTGCTTTACACACCCTTGGCTTGGCGGGACAGCTCCATGAATAGAAGCTGTTAATTCACCTCAGCAGCCAGCTCACCATCACTGATTTGGACCATGCAGACTCCCTACTGATCAAAATGGCAGCTCTCAGAGTGAGACCTGCTGGATATGTGCTAAAGCGGCACACATGCTGCTTGCAGCAGGAAGGACAATCAGCTGAGAGAAATTTTTAAATACTATGGAAAAGGCAGCTTCTGTCTACTTGAAACAAAACTAGATTTTCCTCCCTCACTCAAAAGCCCAAAATGACAAACTGCAACCTAAATCCCATTTCACTTCTTTCCACAACTTGGTGTGAAACTTGGAAGCATTGGATTTCATACTCTGTGATCCAGCTATTGGAGCCAAGGAGCCTCTCAGGTAAAAACAAACAAACAAACAAACAAACAAAACCAGAACCCCTCTTCTTTCTCCCTTTTAAACTAAAAGAAAACAGGTTAAATGACAAGGAATTTCCCCCACCCCCAACGAACTACTATAAGTCTCTGGTGGGTACTAATTTCAAATTCAGCTGACAGACAAATGAATGTGGCACATAATCCATCATGTCACGGCAGAGAGGTTTCCATGAGGTCCTACAGAAAGCGGTACCCAGCCAGGTGAGTAGCTCTACGTGTAAGCTATGAGGCTTCCATCCTGGAGGACACCCTCTCCCTTCTAACCAACCCTGCTTCCCATCTCTTTCAACAACACCAGCAAGAGTTAATGCTCCCAGAAGTACTTAAGGACTCTCCTGACCTCTGTAATTTTCAAAAGTACCTTGGCTTTCCCTCTCCCCGCCATGAGGGTCCTTGTAGGGGAGCCAGAAAACTTCAAATAAAAACACTTAAAAAGAAAGAACACTTCAGGACCTCATCTCGACTTCAGAACTACTCTGTGTCACCTTCTTGCCACTTAAGGAGCCTCATCTTTTAGATAGGGATGTCCTCAGCTAAGTACACAGGCTTCTAGAGGACTAAAGCCCATAATTGTGTTGGAATTGAGAGGAGGCAATGGATGGACACTGGTTAAAGCAACTGAGCAAGGACAAGCCACGCTAAAATACGTTCAGTGCAAATGTTAATGCGGAAGAAACAGAAAATGACTCTGGCTAGAAGCAAAGGTGCAGACTGATGCAATCTGGAAATTAACATTTAGCTAAGAGTCAGGGGTTGCGACATGCAGTTGGTAAGATGGTAACATTCAGTGGTTTTGTAAAGACAATATTGTGATATAAAAAGAACCAGTGAACTGAAGATGCTACCTCAGGACTGCATAACAACATAGCCTGAATTTTACGATGTAAATCTGATAAATCCTCAAGGGTGGGTAGAAAGATTGAAAGAAAACTCATGTTATATCTCAGTAGTAGGATGACAGTCAGTCTTATACTTTTCAATAGACCTTGTCATAAATATATTCTTCTCAATAAATGTTAGAATATTAAAATCCTATACATCTTACATTTAATAATCTTTGAATTCTACAATGTAATGAAGTAAGCCCAAGTGACAAAGTTTTATTAATGGTTCAGATATCTGCTACTTTCTTTACAGTTAGCCTGAGATTCCCTCCCACAGTAGCACTTTCACGTCATCCCAGCTGCTCTGAGCACTCACCTGGGAAGGTGTTGTCACATTAATTTCTGGAACAAAGTTGTCCTCAAAGAAATTGATGATGTTCTCTTGCTGCAGTTCCTTTGTTGGGGTGACTTTAGGCAGAGGTGGGACAGGAGGCCCTTTCCTTGTCTAGGAAACATCAAATACAAACATGGTAGCCAAAGACATTGTCTGTGACATCTTTGAGGAAGTGTGCCATGAGCACAGCTGTGTAAGAAGACTGACTTCTGACTGAAACTGATCTGCCCATAGGTGTAAGACTACTTGATTCAAGTTAAGAATGTTGTCCACTTGGGTGGCTCTCTGAACACTGACAAGCAATGGTCTAATAGAAAGAAGTCAGGTCATGAGATGAGAGTCCATGCATCTTCATTTGAGCACTGCCCAGAGTTGCAGGACCTATGAGGTTGCAAGAAAGGCCACATATTCTCTCAGCTCAACTACAAATGATTTCTCTCATCAGCAGAAAATTGGAATTTCAAAACAAAAATCAAGGCAGTTGTTCACTCATTTGTTTTTCCCAATGGAATCAATGAGATCCAACCAGAGAAAGATTCCAATCCACGATTTCGAAATGACAACCTCAGACTGGATCACACCTACTTTCTTGCAACTTTCCAGCTTCAGCCATATATCTATGAAAGCTTACAGTGGACCATAAGGATTAAATGTCCCTACAGAAACGTTATTTTAATTCAATGTAGGGAAATCAAAAGTGGTAGATTTTTTTTTTCCTCATTAGTTCTTTTACCCTGGTTCTTACAGTTTCTGTTAGCTTGTTTTCAGCTTCTATTGAGTTGGAAATTCATGTGTAACACAAAGTGGGGGATAGGGTACCTAAAAATACTGCAGTTCTGGGAAGTCCCTGACCTCAATGTAGCACTGAAACGGAGGTTCAGGAAGAATATAGAGTGAATGGAGCTCTGAAGATGTAGCTTTTGTGTTCTAAGGCTATTAACTGCTCAGAGGATGGGGAAAGCCAGGCAAGTGTTCCATCACTGACAGGAACTCCTGCAGCCTCTGAAAGGCAGGATTCTAAGGGTAAGAGAAGGTAAAGATGAGAACTGCTCAGCCTAAGAACCTGGGGATAGGGCCAGAAGGCCCAAATGATAAAAAACACCAAATAGTGGATGAAAAACAAAGTTTAAGTAGAAAATAGACTTATTCTTTAGTGGTAATAGTAATGTCTACTGTCTCAGACCTTGCCATAGAAATTTTCTATAATGCTTGGTCATCATAGGAGGATCCCAGAAAAAGTCAGCTCCCCATGAGCTCTCCCACGCCCCGGCATACACTTCCTACCTGTGAAGGTGATCTGGGTCGCACTGGGGCAGGAGATGCAGGCGCTAGTGTGTGGTTGGGACTAGCTGTTGGGCTGGGCAGGGGTGAAGGCTCCTCTGGGGGTGATGGTGTCTTTGCAATACGAAGAGGACCCGAATCACTGGATGGAACAGAGGATTGATCGAGAAGCCTTCTGAGACGCAGGATTCCTTTGACCTAAGAGTCTTTATCCCAGAGAAATCCTGAAGCTTAACCTTACTTTTATCATATTTCCCACTACCTTGTTAATTCTAGTTATTAGCAATAGTAATAGATGCTGATAACTGGCACCATTTATTGTTCACTGTGAACCAAACTCAGCCATGCATGATTTCTTTTCTTTACAGCAGACATGCAATGTTGACCCTGCTTTAGATATGTAAAAGACCGAGCATAAATAGGTTAAAAACAAAGAAAGAAACTCATTGTTTTACTACATTTGCATTTAAGACTTAGTATAAACGTCTTGCTCTTTCCACATGCCTAACAAGCTTCAAATATTTCCCAATAGAAGGTGTAGTAATAAAACCAACTTCACGTTTGATATTCAGGAGAATCACGCCATGCCACAATCTATAGAAAATTACCCAGAAAACTGACACTTTTATTTTCAAAGGCATCTTGGAAGCGAGTTAATAAATCTTTAGTAGGAGTGGGTTGGGATTACATTTGGAGAGTCACCCATTATTTCGTTCTACATGTTATGAAACAATGACTAACTCAGACACCTTGTAGTGTGCCAGCAGAGCACGTGACAGGTGAGATTCTACAACTTCCTGAGAAGCCGTCATGTCCTAGGCATCTTGCCAGATGCTTGGGAACAGTTAAGCAGGATGACTAAGACGGTACTCAGGACACATCCTACTCTCTAAGAACTTCTAAAGACAACAGCCAGGAGGAAAAGAGTCTGTGACCTAAATAAGAATAACGACACAACAGCATGGTCTACACATTCAAGAGCTAAGGAAACCAGATTCTTTATAGAGAAATGCTACATGATTGGGGCTCAGGGCCAGCAATCATGACCTCTGACTAGAAAAAGCCCAATCTATGCTCTAGTCTAGAGATTGCCTGCAGAGCTAACTTACCACCTTGCTCTGCAAAGGAATGTTAAAAAAAGAATAGGAATAAGAATAAGAGACATTTGTTAAGTGGCTGTGACCCTACTTCTTGTTTTAGCTGATTATGAAACTGATATTTGCAAATGCATCTGCTGCTTTCATTTCCATGCGAAGGAGCCACTCATAATTTCTTAACATGCCTTACTTTTACAACATCCAAAAGGAAGTTTGATATTCTTATCCTTCTCTTCTTTCTAGCTCAATAAGCTAAAAACAAACAAACAAACAAACAAACAAAAAACATTGGAGCCTTAATTCTGGTCCTTTCCTGGATTCTTTCAGGCATGCCCTTCCCTTGGAGAGAGAACCACTTGCTGCTCTGGCAGTTATAGTAGAGACTACAGATACAGCCACGTTAAGGAGCAGTAAGTGATCAAAATAGTAATCTTCAGACAGTGACATATGGAGAGGTTGGCGGCTGCATATGTGTATGTGTGATTCTGTAAATACATCCCTGTGAGTGTTTACAATGACTGCCATAGAAGCCACAAGCATAGAATTTCAGAACTGAACATCACCTTAGAAATCATTTCATTCCAAAGCACCCAACTTCCTCTATAGCTATTTTTTTAATTTTTTATTAATTACACTTTATTCATTTTGTATCCCCCCATAAGCCCCTCCCTCCTCCTCCCTATCCCACCCTCCCTCCCCTCTCTGCATGCATGCCACTCCCCAAGTATATAGCTATTTTTAAGTAAGCAATAAAAATACAAAGGCTACTGGTCTTCAATAACGAAAGCAAAGCAAGTCAAATATAAAGGCACGAAATTGAAACCTAGGATTTCTGACTCCTTACTCAAGGCTTGTTAAGCCTGGGTGAGATAAAAGAGACTTTAAAATCATAGAAAACAAGTGGGTGTGCAGTCAAACCAAGGTAAACAGCTGAGCTGTGTCATTGGGCCCCTGTCTGTGACTGACACATTAAAGGACAACATGCAATGGAGTCATAACAAAGCCATGTTGCAGAGTAAGTGCCAAGGCAGAGGTAGAGGGAGGGTGAAGAGGTCTCTTCCACTTCTTTCTTTTCTTTAATAGCTAAGAATAAGTATAAAACTGTGGAGCTTTTGAATTTTTTTCTATTCCAGAGAAAGTAACAGTAGAAATGATCACGATCCCACACTGTGGCTCGCAGGTTCCATGCAAATCAGAGAGGCAGCTACTTACTTCTACTGTGACCAGTAGCATCTTGATATAACTGAAGGCCCAAAGTAAATAGAACAGCTCAATACTCTCTAGGTGGACAGGCTCCTTTCAGACTTTTACAAGGTGAGTAAAAGAGTGTAACATTGTCTCCACCCTCTAGAACATTCAACACGCAGTCCATCACTTTTACATGGAGCAGACCTAGCTGTGAGGACCAGCGGCCTACCTGGGCGCTCCTTGAATGCTGAAGGCCTTGTCAGCATGCTGCTCACCCAGTTTCGTCATGACTTCATAGAGTTTGTGGCAGAGCTAAGGGGACAAGGACCTATTAACCACAGGACTTCCGAGTGCCCACCCATGCTCTTCTCCAAAAAGAGATTGTTTAACAAGAAGCTAAAACTATTCTGAGAGTCAGATTGGTCTCAGGGCACTTGAAATTCCCTATACCACATTTAAAATCTACAGCTAAGCCGAGATAAACCAAACACTAAATTAATCAAATATGCATTCACTAGAATATGAAGCAGAAATGAAAATCTGATTGTCTTAATCCTGTTAAACACAGACCTATAGCTGTCCTGATGAACTAAGAGATCAATAGACAACAACATGGCTGCTACTTATCTAAATATTTTGAGATCAATTTTTCGTCAGTTTAGAACATCATTTGAAATTCCAACATTTCATCCAACAGCGGATGAAAACAAGATAGTAAGGCTATGATAAAATCTTCAAAGCGTATAGAAAACTGTGTGTTTACTATTTTACTTAATTCGTTTTCGTTCATCTGAGTAACAGCAACTTTAATTTAATTCATTAAACAACCAAACAAAACAAAAAGCAGTGCAGAGAATAGTACCACAGTGCTGCTACAAAAACCACGTACGTTGGCTTCCATAATGGAAACAGTCACCATCACTCACCACTGCAATTTCCTTGTGAAACTTGGCCTCAAGGCTGGAGACATTTTTGAAAGTATTGACATAAAAGCCAACTCGTCTACCAAGGGAAAACACAAATAAAGGCAAGACCAGTTAGCAAAAATGGATTTAAATGACAACAAAACAAATTAAGACTATGTTTCCTATATATAACTTTGAACAACATTGGATTAAATAACATCCTAGAGTAAGCCTGACTTTTCTCAGCTGTTGAGCACACAAGCTGCCCATCAGGAGCATCTTGAATACGCTTGTAAAGGGAAGGCGTGGGAAGGGTGCTGGGACATTAGACAAATTCCATCTGTCTTTATCTGAGTTCCCTACGAGTAAGACAAAAGCCAGAGATTTAGCCTATACCCTCAGGATAATTTGTTTCTCCAAATGAAGGCTATCTGGGCTCTATTTTACTTAATTCTTTTTCAATCATCTGAGTAACAACTTCAGTTTAATTTATTTTATTGTTTCAATGGTGTTCTCAAAACAAACAAACAAACAATAATAAACCTGAAGTGTACTGATTGTTAAATTAGATCTGAACTCTCAATTAGAGAGGAAGAGAGGGGTGGGATTAAAGGGACAGGGAGGGAACAGGAGCCTCAGAAAAGAGACCAACAAAACTAAAAGATCTGAGCCCAGGGGATTCTGCAGAGACTAATGCACCAACTGGAGGACCATGCATGGAGACAACCTAGACCCCCTGCTAAGATGTGGCCAATTGGTAGCTCAGCCTCCATGTGGATTACTGAGTGAGGGGAGCAGGGGCTGCCTCTGTCATGAACTCAGTTGTCTGCTCTCTGAATACTCGCCCCTGATATGCAGCCTTGCCAGGTCACAAAGAAAGAGGATCCAAGCAGTCCCGATGATACTTAACAAGCTATGGGCAGATGGCAATAGCGGAGAAAGCACCCTTTCAGTAGACTAGGGGAAGCAGATGAGGGGAAGAGGGAAGAAGGGTGAGCCTGGGGCAGTTGATGGAGGGTGCTTCAATTGGGATACATAATGAATAAATTGTGAAGAATTTTTTTTAAATATTCATGTACAAAATTGCAGAAAAGAAATAAGGCATGAAAAAAAAACAATTCTAGTGTGAATTAATTGAAAAATAATTTAATAAATAAAAACTAAGGTCTAAAACAACAAGAAATTTAATAATCTTCTCTTGCTTAAGCTGAGCCTTGCAGTGTGTAGAAGAAGAAATGTAGAAACCATCAGCATCAATGGAACCAAGAGTCATCAAGTTCCTTTTATTTGTTCCTTCATTTGATGCTCACAGCAATCCCCTGGGCAGTGATCCTCATTCACTAGGAAAAGTAAATAGGAATTAACTGTCCAGAGTGTCATGCACTTCACAGGTAGAGAAAACACCATATTTAAACCACAAAACGGAAAATGTAATAGAAGGTCATAGAATATGTCACAAGAAAACAATTTTTAATCATGATATTGTTACTTCAGTGTCAGCAAATTCTGCTTAAATTAGGTGTTTTTTGAATTTAAACTAAAACAAAAACTTGGAACCAAATTTAAGAACTCTGAAATGAAGTGAGAATTAAATGGTAAATCTGCCCCACAAATAGGGCATTATTTTTCTATGGCTTATCTTGTACCTTATGTCCTTGACATATGACATTTATCTCCTTTACCCACAGTTACCATGTGACCCTGAGTTCACATATTTTTATTGTAGCTGATTTCAAATCCTCTATTTTATACATATATGCATTCAGATGGATCTTTATGTTTATGGAGCTGTATATCAGCTGATCAAAACCATAAGAAGACAGAGGGCATCTTCACTGAACACAGACAGTATTCTTTCTTATTTTCTTAACAATTTACATCAAAACAACTATGTGTATAATGTTGTCATGGTATTAGGTCTTCTATTAGCTTACTTGGAAAGAAATCTAGAGATGGCTGAAAGTGCATGGGATTATATGAGTAGGTTATACACAAGTACCACATCATGTAATGTACAGGGCTTCAGCAGCCATTGATTTTTGCTTCCCCTGGGGTTTCTGGAATCAATTCTCCACAGATACAAGGGACAAATGTGTGCGTTTGAACATGTACTCATGCATACAGGAATGTAGTGGTAAAAACCCTGGAATAGTGTGTTTGGGAAATAGGACTCAAGTGAGAGACTGGGAGTACATTCCTTGTGTGCAAAATCTAGTGTAAAGTTTCAGTAAGGAATCTCTGATGTTCCCTGTCAAACTCTTTCTATCGGCTAAGTCATATTCCTTCTTAATTTTGAATATCATCTTATATATAACTTCCATAAATTTGATAGTGACAACAATGCATCATCCATTAAGTTAAAATTTATAATTCCTTTAGTGGAAGATACATCTTTCATTTATTTATTTCCCCATTTTTATCACCTAGTCTTATTTCTTAGTGTATTTTTCCTATCCATTGGTAAAGGGTGTTACATTAAATATATTAAATCACTAACCCAGTTACCATAAATGTAATAGTTTACCATAAAAGGAAAACTAATAGGCGCCTGTGACTCTTGGTATGAAATTTTCAACTTTACAGCTGGATAGGTCTGCCTCTGGCTAGGTCTGCAGGAGATTGTCTTGATTATATTAATTGAAGGTGGGAAGACCTGCCCACTGTGGGTGACACCATTCCCTAAGCAGGGGATCCTGAGCTGTGTAAGAGTGGGAGACTGAGCTGTAGCATGCATGGAGTTACTGCTCTTTTCTCTGCGCTGTGAATGTAATGTGACCTGCTCCCTCACTGACACAGCCAATTTTTTCTCACAATAGACTGTATCCTGGACCTCGGAGCCAAGGAAACGCTTTTCCCTTAAGTTGCTTTTGTCATGGTATTTTATTACAGTCGTAGGAACTAAGGCACTACATTTTCATGCTTAATTTTTCTTTTTCTGTCACATCATTTGTTGTATCAGTTTTTATAGAAAGAAATAATTGGTGCAATACCAGAGAGAAATACTATATTTTAAATAGCTAAACAAGCATGTACACTTTCATAACATTTTGCTTCATTTTATAATTTAGAAATTAAGTAGCACGTATTAATTTGGAAAAAAAATGGTCAGAGTGGTGATGCAACTTATCCTATAGAAGTTTCCCCCCCAATATATGAAATCAGAGACTATTTGCCAAAGGGGTCTTTGACTTGTTCATAATTGTAGTCTTGGCCCCTGACATGGCAGCTAGGACACAGAAGGCACACAGTGAATGTTTTGTGAGTGGGGGAACAACAAACAAATGTACGAACAACCGAATAAACAAATGAGAGTGGCATTGGCAGGGTACATTCTGATGTGTCTTGACTTAGGAAATGCTAGTTTAAACAGCAGTGTAATACATGCTTACAAAGAGTGAGGCTCTGGATGCTGATATTTCTTAGAAGGCTCACTTCAAAATTCTTCACTCATAAGGGATTTTGAGAGTTTACCAGTTCTCCCCAAAAGTCTTTATATGACATCAACAGGACCCTTAAGATTAGCTGTCAAAATCGTTTCTTTTCTTTATCTTTTTTAATTCAGTCAGCTTGATGATATCACCATGTTGCTATCACTGATACATATTTTGTTCTCAGAAAAGATAGAAATGAGTCGGAGAGATGGCTCAGAGGTTAAGAGCACTGGCTGCTCTTCCAGAGGTCCTGAGTTCATTTCCCGGCAACCACATGGTGGCTCACAACCATCTATAATGAGACCTGCTGCCCTCTCCTGGTGTGCAGGCATACATGCAGACAGAACACTGTAAATATAATAAATAAATACATCTTTAAAAAAATGATGGAAATACTTGGAAGCTGATCGGATAGGATACGTAAGCCCATACAAACACTGTTCCCTCCAGGGTGCACAGGAGGCACCAAAGGAATTGTGCACGTCAGATGGAGGGGGCCACACTCTCACCTATCATGGAGACAGGGTGGATAATGGGGAGTCTTATTCCAAGTTTACCCAGATGCTGAGCCGAGTCACACTCACGTTGCTAAATATTTAGCCTCTTTGCAGCTGCAACCTTATCCCATCTACTTTGCATTAGGGTGGGTCTCATGGATTCACTCTCTCTTTCATGCAGTCCTAACGGGAACACAGTAGAACCCTACAGTCATTCTACTATCTATCAAAAGAGCAAGTACCCACAGCATGGCCCAAACATCCTATTTATTCCTGTTCTTCCACATCTATGTGAGATCTTGAATATTGGCATTATTCTCACAGCTCCACCTGTGAACTGGAGCAACCCACTGTCTCACTTCTAACCTATCACAGGCAAAAATCCCTCATTACTTTATTTGCAAACACCTACTTTTAAAACATGTGTAAGATTACTACCTTTTTTTTGGTAAGCTTTGTTATTTAATTTTTCATATAGTATATTTTGATCACATTTTCTGCTCCCCCAATGCCTCTGAGATCCTCCCCACAACCCTGCCTACCAAACCTTATGTTCCTTCTCTCTCTCTTTAAAACAAATTAAAAAACAAACAAACAAAAGGAAAACACATACATTTAAACCCAGCAAAAAAATCACAAAAACAGAAATCAAAATAAACAAGAAAACAATCAATAAGATAGAAATGTTTAAGCAAGACGGGCGTGGTGGTACACGCCTGTAATCCTAACATCGGGGAGGCAGAGAGAGGCAGATTCCTGTGAGTTCAAGCGCAGCCTGGACTACAAAGCTAGTCCAGGACAGCCAAGACTACACAGAGAAACCTTGAGTTGAAAACAAACAAACAAACAAACAAAATGTCCAAACAAAACAAAATGAAACAAAAAGGTTGCAAAAATACCATTGGGTTTGTTTTGTGTTTCCCAACAATTCCTGGACCAGAGGCTTGCTCTTAAGTGTGTCGTCTACTGGGACTCCATTGGAGAAAACTATTCTTCTCTTCTTTGCTTGGCGATATCATTTGCAGATAGTGTCTTGGTTAGGGGCAGGAGCCCATGTTCACTTCCTCTTCTTGGTGCTGGGACTACATTTGTCCTGAGCCTGTGCAGGCCCTGTGCGTGCCACCACAGTCTCTGTGAGTTCTTATGTGCATCAGTCCTTTTGTGTCAGGAAGACACTGTTTTCTTCTTGGAGTCATGCATCACCCTGGCTTTTACAATCTGTATGCCTCCCCTTCCACATAAGTCCCTGACCCTTAAGGTAAGGAAGACTTTGATGAAGACATTCCGCTTATGACTGAGTGCACCAAAGTTTCTCACCCTGCACAGTAGATCACTGGTTTTTTATTTCAGGCAACAGAGCCCACTGGGGTCCGGTCCTCTGGAATCACATAATTCAGATCCCGGTCTTGTCTGACGAGTCCTATCGACATCCTCATACTGTTCCTATCTGCCACTCACCCCACACATTCTGAGGCTAAATGTTCCCCACCCTTTTGCCACTGGCCCTGCCATCTTCTGAAAATGAAAGAACTGACTTTCAAAGGTTTCCATTGTTCTATCAATCCTCTATAGCTACTACATGATTCCTTGTGCCCTTTCTGAAAATCAAGATTTTCAAACCAGAGACATCCATAGTGCTGCTCCCTCATGATCCATGAAGTCCCCAGTGCCTGCTACGGAGCCCCTGGTCCCTCCTCCCACTGGGCTCATCCTGGAGGTTCAGCAAAGGTTAATTACCATTGGGTTCTCACGGACTTGGTCTTGCTATTGTAATGAGCACCCTGGAACACGTTTATCATTAAAGTGTTCCCCATTCTCAGCTTCTTGGTGGTCTCCTTTCTTTCAGGGTCCTGATGAAGATGTCATTATTTCCTCTCAGGTTTTCCTGAAGGGTTTTCTGCTATTACGTAGTGCTTCATATTGCTGCTCAGGTATCTAGGCATTGACATCACCCATACTTACCATTTCCCATCCTTCTTTCTTGAGCTACAGTCTTCATTACCTTTATAAACTCCTAATGCTTCTTCTAACATGGCACACATAAGATGGAACTGAGTGCATTTCCAAACCTCCATTTTCATTCTGTGCTAAGCCTTGAGAAGCCTTTTTTCATCTCTGATGCTACCACCCAGACATGTCAGTTTCCATTACGTTATCTTTGTCTGATATTTTACTTTTTGTTTCTTTTTCTCCTTCAAAGTAGGCAGTAAGAAAATAAAACTTTCAGTATAAGATCTATAGCACCCCAGAGAAGCTAGACACGCAGTGGGTGGCCAATAAATAAATATTTGGTAAATAAATGCATCTAACTCCTAGTCTCTGTCCTTTTCTCCACACAATTCCCTCCTTTGCATTCTCTTTCCAATTAGCCTCATGCCATATTACCGTAATTAAACTTCTAAGAACTGGAGCTGAAGAAATGTCTCAGTGGTAAAGAGCACTATCTGCTCTTTCAGTAGACCTGAGTTTGGTTTCTAGCACTTGTATGGTGGTTCACAACCATCCGTAACTCCCCCAAGTTCCAGGGTACCTGATACCCTATTCTAGCTTTCATGGATACCAGGCATACACGTGATACCCAGAAATACAGATAGGCAAGATACCCATATACATAAAATAAGACAAAAATTCAAAACTGAAAAAAGTTTTAATAATCCCGTATCCACAAAACCTATACCTTTATTTTGTGCATTCATCAGCTTGCAATATTTGTTCACCAAATACTGACTTCGAAAATTCAGCTTAAGCATTCCTTATGGAGTCTTCCTTCTTTATCACCATGAATCACGAGTTAGGCCAAAACATAAATGTAGGTCAGAAGGGAGAGTATCTACCTGTGTGGCATGAGTTCAACTTCCAGCAATTACCAAAAGGAGAAAATCAATAATACTTAACAGTTGTCTGCGACCTATTGCTTCCTCTTGGCACCAGATTTTGTGTGTGTGTGTGTGTGTGTGTGTGTGTGTGTGTGTGTGTGTGTATGTGTGTGTGTGTGTGTGTGTGTGTGTGTGTGGTGACCAGAGGTAGACTTCTCACCTTATCCTTTGAGACAAACCTCTCACTGAACACGCAGCTCACCGACTGGCTGGACTGGTGGCTGGTGAGCTCCAATGATCCATCTGGATGCTTCTGTTTCCGGCCCTCATGCTGGGTGGCAAATGCATGCCACCATGCCCAGTTCTATTTGGCACTGGAGACCTGACACCAGCTTCTCATGCTTGTGCGGCAAGCGCTGCACTCATTGAGCCATCTCCCCAGAGACCTCACTTCTCTTCTTTATGCACCCAAACTTTTGAAACAGTTTTCTTTGCATGGAAGTAATAGATGATAAAAAAAAAAAAACACCAAGAGATAAAACAGAAAGGAAAAGAACAGACAAGCAAACTAAAAGCAAGCATTATGCTTAATACTATCCACATTTTAGAGTCAAAGATGAAAGCAGAGTGAATGGAAAAGGTGTGCCATGTGAAAGGTAAGCAGCAGACCTGGAGCAGGTATCAGGCAAACTCTTATTAAGAGAGGTAAAAGGGGATACTTTATAGCTCCATGTGGTATGTTCACCTGTAATCCCAGAATTGGGGAGGTAAAGTCAAGAGGATTGGGAATTCAAGGTAATCCTTTGCCACAAAGTGAGTTAAGCCAGCTTGGGACCCTATCTCAAAATAAGCAAACCAAAACATAGGACATTTTATAAGGCTAACATCCTCCTATTCACATATGAAGATATTCACATCTAAAAAGGGAGCTGACAGAACTGGAGAGGAAAATGGGCCTGGAAAGAGTTGATGCCAATAGCTCAGCTTTGTAGATAAATAGGATAATTAGGCAAAAGACAGAGAAGGGGGGACCTGATGAACACCAAAGCACAACTGGACACAATGAATAATTTCTGAATGTCTAAGATGCGTTCCCTGAATGCAGGATTTCAAGCATTCAGGGAACTGAATACATGTTCCCTGCTGCATGTCCAATCCTGAGCATTTACCCACAAGAGACACCAAAGATTAAAAGTAATGACTTCAATTTCAGGGTTGAGCAATGCAAATGGGAAAAGAACTGTGTACTTGTGAAAAATCATGACTGTGTGCAATTTCAGTTAAAGGGAGCCTTAGATTAAAGCAGTAGGAAATTAAGCCTGCAGATGTGTTTAATTTTATCTGGGCCACCAGCTATTTGGAAGGTAGGGGAAGAGATTGACTAAAAGTAATACAGCATGGAGAGCAAAGTTCTATCTGAGGGGCTGGTGGCATGGAACTGCTGATGAGAACTGAGGAACATAAAACATCCCTGCCTCCAGCAGCTTCGTGGTTCTTCCACTGAGTGGTGAGAGCGGAATAAACTCCACAAACTTCACTCTGAGATACCATGAAACTTGTGGAATGTCTGTAAATAAGAACAGCATTTGGTGCCAGGTTAAAAGTCCAAAGAACAAGGTCAGAAGATGAGATGAGGTCTTAGAAGATGGGAACTCCAACCAAGAGCTGAAGGGCTCTTGCTGTAAGTCTTATGACTAAGGGAAATTCTCCTAGTGAGAATGCTCTATTGAGAATTTGAGTCTCCACCTGAGAAACATAACAAGGGCCAAACAGCTGCCACACACATGGCTATTTAATTAAAATGATACAACAAAATTAATATAAAATTCTGTTCCTCAGTCTCCCCAGCCATACTCCAAGTATTCAGCAGGTATATGTGGTAAGGGGCTTCCGTATTGGAAAGCATAGGTATAAAACTTCGTTGGGATAGGACAGAAGCATCACGGACAAGGGAAGTGACACAGAAGAAAGCCACTCCTCATGAACTGCTAAAGGGTGTATGTGGAAACTGGAGCAGAAGCATGCTTACCTTGACCACAATGACGGTAGCTCTTCTTGTAAGTCAACATTGAACTCTTCAAACACTTTTTGTGCTTTCTGAAACTCCTCTTCTGCCTAGAAATGACACACGTTACATTTACACACAGGGGAAACCATTTCCATACATAAAAGCATCATTTTATATTAAACAGGAGCAGCCTTATGGTATCCTGAGAGGGTTGTGAGGAGAGCTTCTTTTTTTTTTGAAACCGACACCTTTTGTAATTAAATAGGAAACAGAAAGGACTTGAGAGTTAGTAAGGGTGAACAATTAAGTCATACCCACTCTGTGAAGGTCTTGTATGTCATGCTAGGGGATTTAGGATTTTTTTTCTTAGTGGGATCCATTAAAAGAGGTGAGTAGTCAGGAACCTGATCTAAAGTGCCATATTGGTAGGGGACTTGGCAAGTGGTATGTGATAGAAAAGACAAATCAATCCTGGATTCCAAGGGAGTAGTAACTAGCTGACATCATTTAGCTACTATCTGCAAATTGCTGGCATACATGATTGTTGGTAGCTTGAATAAGATGACCCCCAAAGTCTTGGGCATTTCACTACTGGGTCCCGTTAGTGATGATACCTAAGGAGGATTGGAAGGTGTAGGAAGTATGAAATTGGGTGCAGGTTCTGATAGCTTGAAGCCTTGTACAATTTTGCGTTTGATCTTTGTTTCCTGCTTGTGATTTAAAGTGTGAGCTCCCAGATTCCTGATCTAATTACCGTCCCTGCCTGCTGCCATACTTTGCCATTGTAATGATGAGGGAATGACTCATACCCCTCCAAAACACTAAGCTTCAAACAAGCTTTTCTTCTACAAGTTGCCTAGACATGGCGTTTTATCACCGCATTGAAAAAAAGTTAACTAAAAAAAAAGAGTAACTAATACAATAATAAGAGCTAATGGAATGGATCTTCTGCAAGAAAATTACTGTTATGCAGACGTAGCTTCTGTCGTTATTATTGATCGGGAGTTTTGTCTGAAGTGCAGAAACATTCCTTGGTTTCTTTGATCTGGAATCACTGCAAGAGGCTCAGAGTTATTCTGGTCACAATGTGAGATCAGTGTCAGTAAATGTCACTCATTGATCTCACTCATAATAACATGAAAAAACAAACTTATTTTAAGGTAGCTTAGAAAACTATAATTTTGTTTGAATTCTGGCCTGCTTGCAGTCATCTTTTCAAAGGGACACGTCTAACTTTTAAAAACAAGGCTGCTGCTGCAGGCCTTAAGATTCAGAGAGTGAATTCGCCCACTGGATCCGTTCTTACCTTAGAGATCCGGCTCTCATCCTTACGCTTGGAACTCTGCAGAGCCTCCAGGTGATGGCGGGCACTGTCATAATCCACGAGCTTCCTGCTGCGCTTAGCGATGCGATTCTGCCAACATGGAGAACCACATGAACTGAACAAGGAGTCACAGAGTCCCTGACTGCCAGAAGTCAAAGTTCAAAATGCTGTCGGTGTGAAAGTAGCTGAGGACTTCAAAAGAATCATTGCATTTACATGTGGGTGTATGTGCCTGTGTGAGTACAATTAAAGGACAATCTGCATGAGTCTGTTCTTGCCTCCTTCCATGAGGGTTTGTGAGATTGAACTCAGGTGGGTCATCAGGTTTGGGGGCAAGCAACCCCACCTGCTGAGCCATCTCACTGGCATGGAAGGTGAGGTGAGCAGGGATAGAAGTAGAGAAAAGACAGCTAGAAACCAGAAAAAAAAAGCTTCTAAGCCTTTGTGCTTTAAACAGCACCCCTTCTGATAACAATGAGGCCAGTCATGATCAGCTAAAGGCAATTTTGTATCAAAGACCAGGAAAGTACTGGAGTTGCTTTGGGGAAGCAGGCAAACCTGTACTATCGGCATCTATTCTCACTCTTAATACACTGCAGTTTGCAGACAGGAGAAAGCTACTCCAGGCTTGTTTTTGTGATTACAGTATCATACTAATAACAGTGTCCTAAGACAGATTTACTACCTGAGAAATCTTTCCTCAGTCTATCATTGTCCTTTATATATTAGAGTCTCTAGAGCTAATGTATCACTTTGGAAATGCTGTTGTCCAGGACAAAGGACATTGCTGATGGGCTACCTCATTCCCATGACCACCTCATTAAGGAATTTTCACAACCTTCATCCAGAAATACAAAGCCACTAGCTATAGAGTGTTATATCTTGACATCACAGAACTCCTGCCGCATGACCAAGTTTTTGATCAGGGCTTTTGATCAAACAGGATCATCTTCATTTACATGACCCCTACTTGCAGAGAGATAATATAGCTAGAAATTTTGTGCACAGTGACCCACATTAAAGCTCCCAGAACTGTATAGCAGCTAACATGGGCTGTTCTCCTTCAAAAAGAACAAACTACTTTCCAGGAAGCTGCCCATAACAAAACTCAATCTCACCAAAAAAGGACTTCATTAGGAAGGAGACCTTCACGGTGTAGGGCTTTCATCCCCGTAGCAGCAGCAGTGATCAAAGCTGCCCACCTTAGCAGCAGAGTTTCCCAAGCTGTGGTCCACCCAACCCCTCCCCTGTGGCAGCAGAGAATCTTAGAAGCCCACTGTCAACCCTCCCTACCTCTGGCTCACTGGCCCCCTGCTGTGGCGGCCCACTGCTGGCACACACACCAGAAGCTATGTCTAGTCCTTGAGCAATGGCTGGAGAAGAGGTGGGGTTCAGGTTCCAAAGCTCAGAAGTTCAGCAGGGGTTGAGCAAATCCTCCCCTGGGATCTGCAACTTCTCTATTGAGGAGGCTTCCTCTCAGAGCTGTGGTTCCTGGGCTCCCATGCCTCGGGATGCCCTTCCTTTGGGACACTGTCCCACCTCAGATCTGGGATACTTTTCCAGACCTCAGAGTTGTGAGTTTCCTGGACACCCTTCCATTCAAATACCAGCAAGGCCAGCCAACAAGAACAACAAGATTTGGTGCCATGACTCGGATTTATGGCCTTCCTACTCAATCAGGAAGGCAGGCTAGAAACAACACACAGCTCAAGGAATCGTTCCAGTCCTTCCAAAAGTTGGTACATCTGAGTATGGATGGCATGGTGCCTATGCATTAAATTTACATTAACCTTACATTAAGCAAATGCCCTTTAACTTTAGCTCTTATTTGTATTCTACCTAAGTATTTCATTCAAGATTGAATTGGGGGGGGGGGAAGAAATGTAACCAGAATTCTAGACTGAAGCTCTGACAGATAAAGTGATACCCTAAGACAAGTTCTGTGTCCCTCCCTTTCAGAGGTCAAACTGTTGAGACAATGAACCCAAAAGAATTAAAATTTGCCTTAAATACCATACATAGTGAGGGGTAGCTGAAGGCCCATCACTACCCAAAGAAGAACTGGCTTCCTGGGAAGAGATTTCACACAGTTCCAGCACCTTACCCCATAGTTAAATTAACTTATACAGACTTCCTAGCTTTTCTAAGGTATTCTACAAGGATTTACCACCACACCACCTCAGGAAAGACTGAAGCCTATCTCCTATTTACACTGATGGCCAAATCGTTCATAAATCCATTTTCTTTTTATCAATTCCTGCTTCACAGGGAAACTAAGCATCAATTTTGTGAACCTAGGGGCTCAGTAACAAAAGTACAGATTCGAGAAACTCAGAAAACTAGAAGGGCAAAATACTCATTTGTAGACAAATAGTCCTGTTATAGTCAGGCTACTTAAAATCAATAATACCACAAAACAAAAGAGGAGGAATGAAGTGTACATGAGCAAAACACAATAATACATATGTATGAAAATGAGAGAATGTAACTCATTGTTTTGTATGCTAACATAAAAAGTAATTTAAAAACAATGAAAGTAAGCACAACCATAAGAACTACAGCAGGCTAAACTTTAGTAACTATACAAGGCAGAAAATGATGGAGTAGCTGTAAAGTACTTAAAATAACCTATGAAAAAAATAAAAAGAATCTCCCAAGTCAGACTATACCCAGTAAAAATAACTTCCAGAAATGAAGGTGAAAAAGAATTATTTTCAGTCAAACAAAAATTGGGGATTCATTGCCAATGGGATGCTTTTAACATCATAAATGGAACTGCATGAGGCAGTACGTAAAATAAAGGACAAAGTTCAAGGCTAATATAATATATGCAACTGCCTTTACTTTTAATTGCATGAAAACATTGCTAGCCATTCAGAACAACAACAGCAACAAAACAGACAAACAAACAAACAAATAAACCCAGAAACAGTGTACTATGGAGCTTACAACACAAGTGAAAAATGTAGGGAAGTCAGCACGAAGGGAAGGAGAAAGGACTAGAGTGTATCATGACGTTTGCAAGGTTTGCAGATGATGCGTTAAGCAGTATAAATGGTACGGCATTAAACATGACAGTTGAAAGTGTGTACTTATAAGTGAACGGTAATCACTAAAATGCTTAGTCAGAAAGGTGGAACCAATAACCAAAAGGGTAAAATACAGCGAATGTTGAGACCTGGATTTAGATTCTGGCTTAATTAGCCTGAGAGATTTGACAGCAGTGCATTTTTTTTGTCTCCGCACTGTCTAGTTGTACCCAGCTGGTCTAATAATAAACATGAAAAGACATTTGAAAACCTCTTAGATTAGAGTTTTAAATACTAACAAGAGGGGGAAACAATATCAATGAGATATTTGTTTTTACATAACACAGTTACCACCACAAATCTGCACAGTAACCTACAATATGAACATGGTAAGGATTTTACTCATAGGGATCTGTAATTTGCCTAGAACTAGTCATCACATACGAACCTAATGGGAATTAAATGAGAAATCCACTGCACCCATCAGCACCGGGTGTGCATGAGGCGAGAGACACAGCACTCACTAGGGCAGCTGACCCTCAGGAGTTTGAGTGTAACGTGAGTACCCTCCAGAGAAGGCCTTCTTCTCATTTATACCTTCTGAGCTCTCTCCTAGCTGACTTCCTGTCAACCCTGCCCTGCTCCAAGGACTGTTACTATCCCTTCCAATGCTTCCACAGACTCTACTAATTACTCCTGCCACTCAACACAACTTCTCCACAGCCTGCTGACACAGGTAACAGGTAGACAGGGAAGGTTATTCAAACTGAGCAGCTTCAGATCTTAATCTCCATTCCAATGATATTTTCCTGTCTCTGCCACTTCCAAATGGCCGTGAAATGCTTCCAGACACACCCAGAGTGGCTTTAGGATGGTCATTGAGCTAGCCCAGGCAGGGGAGACTGAATTCCTTCCATGAGACTAGCTGACCTCTTGTGCCAAAAAGGTGATAACGCTCATTATTTTTAACAAGCACCCGACTAATCTTCAAAGAAGCTTGTGTAGCATTCAGTGCCCCTAGAGTGCTTCTGTACAGATGTGCCTTTGCCCTCCAAATAGCAAATCATGAGCATTTGAAGATTGCATTGTTTTTTTGTAAAGAGCTGAAATAATTCAATTAATACAATGCTCTGGTAAGCTGGTTTTTGTTCAAAAAATAAGTGAAGTGAATCTTGTGAGACATTTAACTCTGTAACTGGCAAGGCCCTCACAGAAGGTAGCTCACTAGGGTGGAAGTGAATATTTTAAGATCTGTCATTCCCATGACATAAATAAGTTTTGTGCTATAAAAACAAAAGAATTCTTTCCTGTATGACATTTTGGAAGTTTGGAGCAATAGATAGATAGATAGATAGATAGATAGATAGATAGATAGATAGATAGATAGATAAAACTTATAGCTTCACAAAAACAGAACTAACTCAGATTCTAACCTTTTCATACAACACAATTGTAATTGGGTACCCAACAGTAAACTTAAGTCAATTTAAGTAATAGTAATAAATGTTAAGTAATACCTTTAATTAAAATTTCTTACTGTTTTAAATTTCTGTTCTTTAGAAAATAAAGAACACTTTTTAAAATTCTCTTCATAACCCTGATTCATTTTGGCTCACTGAAGTAAATATATGCTTAATTGCTCATGCATGGTGCCAACTTAGGTTCTAAACTACATTTTATAATAACTGTTCGCAGCTCTAAGCCTGCCTGGGTTGGTGACATGTGGGTTTTTATTATAATATTGATTTTAGATGTCAGCACTACACAATGGGAACCGCAACTCAGAGTGTCTTCCAGCCATAGCTCAAATGTCAAACATCTATGAATGGTACTTCATAGCCCTCTGTGATAGGCTACAGCAAATGTTTGGGATTTTGCCTGAGGTTTTAAATGCACTTGGCTTGCTGATTTTAATTGGAAACAAAGAAGTCAATTTTGTCCTGTGCTTTGAAATGTTTTCACTCAGTTAATCTTACTCACAGTGTTTCTTCTATCAGAAGCCCCTTCATTACATATGTGTTAATAACCATCTTTTCTGACCTTAGGGAGTCTACTCCTCCTTCTAAATGGCGCTCATTGACTACATGTGAAACTTGACTATAGCTATTCTTCACTCTCCAATGGTCTTTTCCCTGAGATACCCATGGTTTTTCCTTAATTATTTCTCATGCTGCACAATTTTCCAACCCTCTGACTGGGTTGATAATTTTGTCAATGTAGCTTAAGAGTAAAGGACAAAAGGCAAAAAAGAGACTGATGAAGCCCCTGCACATGACACATGTAAAACCTTAACATGCATTTGCCTTCAGAGTAGCATGAAGGAGCCCTTAATTCTGTTATCCGTAATTCCTAGACATGCTGTAACTGGATGATAGGCTTTGGGTGAAAATTCAACAATATACCTCAAGAAAGAAACTCCATAGGTAAACGTTCTACTGAGTTTACATCATGTTGACTTCAAATGAACTGAGTAACAAGTATAATCAATTATGACTTTGTTTCAAGCCTGTAATTCTGTGCATGCTTGCTTTGTAACTGTATACTTTTAGGAAACATAGACAATAAAATAACTGCCTCTGGGTAATATTGCATCCCATTTTTTCCTTCTGAAATTCAGGTGCCTTTCAGTGGTCTACTTATCTAGTCAATCCCAACCTTACTCAGTCACGTCACACTATGAAAATACAACAGAGTAAGACAAGTTGCAAGCTGATTTAAGTTTTCAAGAAGGAGAACACTGCTTTCTTTATCTTCTTTTGTCTTTTGGATCCTGATTTTATAAAGATTAAGTTATCATGCAATAGAGGTAATATTAGAAGATGGGAGAAACAGAAACCTGGTTTCTGGTTTCTTTTCTGGATACACTGATTCAAACCACAAATCAGCTCTCTTGTGGAAAACAGAAATTAATTGAAAGGCTCCTACATAAGCAGCAAGCGCAACGACTTGTGTTGGTTGGAAGATACTCAACAAGTGTGCAATGACTTGAGTAGTTCCATTAGCTGGCACAGCCCAGAGCATATGGCTGCTATGACCTGACTCCCAGCTTTTACCCTGATAGAGATTTTTAGATCCTGTATCTGACAGTGAACTTTTACATGGGATTCCTAGGCTGCCTCAGTCTTGAGACAGTTCTGTGACACTACTCAACACACCAACTTGCCGGTGAGATGCTGGATGACACATGAATCTATCACAGAATTAGTCACCATCGCCGTCTCTCTGAACTTAGAGAAAGCAAGTCTTTTTAAGAGTCCGGACCCTTCTCCTTCAGAAATAAAATTTCGACAAGTTTGTAGTGGTTGCACTTTTAGAGAGACTGCCTGTGGAGTTGGCTTTGGTCTCAGCACTAATGAGGCCAAGCTCTCTTTAAATACTCGGAGATTGTGAAGAGTGGATGGATTTGGTGGCGGATAAGACTGAAAAATACATGCAGTATTGAAGTCTGATGGGAAGCTTTACAAGTTTTATTTTGAATACCAATTTTAAATGTCTGTAAGTTCATTAAGTTGTATAGATGTTGGGTCTGGTTAATTTGGAGGTGTAGTATTCTTAGTTGCAAGTGTGTTTTTTTTTAATAATAAAGTTTATTTTAAGAAGAACAGGAAGTGAGCTGTACTACAGGAAGACTTACAGGTTCTCAAAATCCAACTGGGATGGCTTATGAGCATTGGACCAAGAGGGGACCATCAAGATGAGCACATCAGAAACCTACAGGCACAATGTCTTGCCTACAGAATCCAATGACAGAGGGGACCAAAGAAAGTCCCTAGAACCGAGGATGACAGAAATAGAGCAGGCACATTGTTGTCAGCTGTATAGTTCCCAGCCTGCCGGAAGGCAGCACCACTGATTTCTTCCCCAGTTCTCTGGCCCTCTACCTTACCAAGAGGTGCTGTGTTTATTAATAAAACATCTGTTTCTGTCGCTATCCACATGTCTAATGCCTTATTCTGAAACACAAGAACCCCGTAAATTCCAGTTGCCTTCTAGACTCCAACATCTGCTGACAGTCAAGCAACTATTCTATCTAAGGTGCAGACACCAGCACAGAAGAAGCTCAGAGAAAGTGAAAACACAGGGGGGAAAATCGCTGGTGCTTAAGTTAACATTGGGAACCCATCATTCAGATGTGTTTCTTTGGAGAGATTCACTGCCCAGCAGTCCAGGAAGCCCAGCATGTTCTTCCCACATTGGTCAGGACTCCTTGTTCATACCGTGTAGGAGCAGAGAAGCCACTCCTTGTTCTGAGTGCTGACTTGGTGATGTTGCTTCATTTCACGGTATGGCATGGCCAGTGCCTTCTTTACAGAACACTTTCTGATACTTATTCATGACCACAGGGAAAGCCAGGTGTCAGTGTATTCGTGCAAGGACATGGCTCAGATGCCCACCAGTGCTGGTGCATAGTCTCCTCACCCTGCTAGGAGTCCAACATACTCTGACTTCACCTTGAGCTCAGAAGCAAAAGAGCTAATGCTGCATATTGCATAGAGACGTCTATTCAAACCCGTCTCACCTCCACTGCTGGTTCCAAATCTACAAAATTCAACCACTCACTACTTTATTTACTCCACAGGGGAGTTAAGAACGAAATCCATTATTTTAAACATAATGCTTCTGCATCCTGATGCAAATGCACCTAAAGGGCTCATATTTCAATTTTATTTTGAAAATTTTAAGGACAGCAAAAATGCCCAGGGGCAATGTGACCACTTGTATAGCTAACACTAAATAGTGAAATATCAGATTTCTCCTCACATTTACAGTTGGGTTTCTCCATTTCCTGTGACTATCATTTATTCTAATGAAAATCATTCCACATATTCAAACTATAGTTTGAACATAATGAATTTCGATTTTTGGTACATTTGATTTCTGATTTTGTATCTACAGGCTTGAAAAGACTTTGGTAAAGACAGAAACATTGACCTGTTCACTGAAAGGGGCACTTTGATTTCTGTACCTGATTCTATTTCACGATAATGGATTAGGATAAAAAACCCATGCGTAAGTGAATGAAGAGTTACAAATGTCTTTCATTTCAGCTTGAGAACTTTTAATTCTCCTCTCTTGTTCTGGTTTCAATAACTATACGAGACCATTCAATTCTTTCCTTCACACACAGAGAATGAAATACCTTTATGTCAGGAAATTGGCCGAGGTAGGTGTCCAGTGTCAGCAAGGACCCATCCACGAGTTTTTGATGGAAGTCTTCCCACAGCACATCACATTTCTGAAAGCGAAATTGACAGTGGCTTCATGATCTCAGACACATTTCACTAAACTTCTAAAATATATAAAACCATAGAACTTAGTCAGCAATATTTCCTAGAATATGAGGCAATAACCATATGAACTAATTAGAATGCAATCAAACTTTAAGGCAATATGGCCAGTGTTCCAGTTAACAATACTTAAAAGCTAAGATTTTGGCTTATTTAAAGTACATCTCTGATTCCAAGACACTAAATGAAGAAGCTTTAAGAGGTTCCTAAATCCCAGTAGACAGGCATTGAAGCTAAAAGATTAAGAAGAATCCCTATGAGAAATCTAGCTTATCTGCAGCAACTGATGAAATGAGAGTCAACCCAAACAGAAACAAACAGCAAAACATGGCTTAAACATCATTACAGAAAAATTTCTGGTATTTGTCAGTTCACCATGTCATACCTGTAATTAATTAATTACAGTTTATTCACTTTGTATCCCGGTTGTAGCCCCCTCCCTCATCTCCTCCTAGTCCCATCCACCCTCCCTCTTCTCCTCCTATTGATACCCTTTCCCTAGTTCCCTGATAGGGGAAGACCTCCTCTGTTTCTATCTCACCCTACCTATTAGGTCTCAGGAGGGCTTGCTACATCATCTTCCTCTGTGGCCTGACAAGGCTGCAACCATCAGGGGGTCACAAAGGGCTGGTCATCGACTTCATGTCAGAGACAGCTCCTGACCCCCTTAGTAGGGAACCCACTTGGAAGCTGAGCAGCCTATGGGCTTCCTCTGAGCGGGGGTTCTACGTACACTCCATGCACGGTCCTTGGTTGGACTATCAGTCTCTGCAGGACCCCCTGGGCCTAGGCTTTTTGGCTCTGTTGGTCACCTTGTGGAGGTCCTGTCCCCTCCAGGTCTTTCTATCTCCTTCTTCCATAAGGTTTCTTGCACTCTGCCCAAAATTTGGCTATGTGTCTCAGTATCTCCTTCAATACTCTGGTGGGTAGAGTCTTTCAGAGGTCCCCTGTGGAAGGCTCCTGTCCTGTTCCTTGTCTTCTCCTACTACCGATGTCTATCCTATTTGCCCTTCTGAGTGAGGTTTCAGCCTCTTCCCGAGGGTCTTCCTCATAGTTTAGCTTCTTTAGGACTATAAATTTTAGAATGTTTATCATGTATTATATGGCTAATATCCACTTATAAATGAGTATATACCATATATTTCTTTCTGGTTCTGGGCCACCTCACTCAGGATGATCTTTTCTAGTTCCATACATTTACCTGCAAATTTCATGATTTCTTTGTTTTTAATTGCTGAGTAACATTCCATCATGAAAATGTACCACACTTTCTGTATCCATTCCTCGGTTGAGGGACATCTAGGATGTGTCCAGATTCTGGCTATTACAAATAAAGTTGCTATGAACATAGTCCTTATTGAATGTTTTTTTTTTTGCACTTCAAAAACTAACCCTTTATTACAATGCCCAATTTAAGAATCTTATGCAAATAAAATAACTTAAATCTACCAAGGAAAAAAGGCTTATTATCGTTATGAGTAGACACAAAGAACATTTAATAATCAGCTGCACTATTATCCAATGGATGATGTTTGCATGGGAACTGAGGGTCCAAAGTGTCATGGAATCCACTGGGAATAAGGTAATTTAGCAGCCATTTTATAAAAGAGTCAGTGTCAATAGTAGCATTGCCATAGACAAAATGGAATCATGTACTGTTCTAAACATAAGAACACATCTTTTTATTACTCTTCAAATTTTCTTGTTTGTGATGACTTTTGAGACTAGATTATTAGTCAGAAACATACAAAGCAAACATTTAATATTTAATAAACATTTAACAACATGCTCTTGAAATATGATGTTTTCCTACCAGGAAAATGTAAGATGATTTAAAAAAAAAAAAAACACTTGATAATTACATTAAAAAATGCTTTGTGGGAACAGTTTTGCCAAATCCACATCCTGAAAGATTTTGGAAGATGGAATATGTCTAACAAAAGCCTCCCTCATAGATAAACCCACTTTCATTTCCGTTCCAAAGAGACTATGAAGAGCAACACTGGGGTGTCAGCACTGCCATGCAGCAGCCGAATGTCACCGTGAACCCCGTTCCCAAAGCTGCAGAAGTGCGCAGCTCTTGAGTTAACCTTCCCCTGGGCCTTGGCTGCATCATCGAACTCAGATATTCTGTTTCTAGCTGAGCTGTATTGACTCACCTGAAGTGACGACATGACAAACAACTGTTCCTCATTTCAACAAAGCGCTTGGAGGGTAGAAAATATCTGCCTAGAAGTTCCCACACAGCAGTGACCAGGACTTGTCCTGAGCACCGATGATGACAGGACCTGAACACAAAGGCTTCCAATGTGTTTTCATTGGTCCCATCTTGTACATGGGAATGAATACCAAGAGGATAAAAGAACTGCCTGATGTTACATGGCCAGTCTTGCTGTCTGTTCCACACCACAGAGTAGTGACACTCTTTTGCTCACTTCCTGCAGGCCAAGTGACCCAGAGCTACAGTCTTCAATTCAGGGGTGAGAATATTTCTAAGGCTGCCATGCAGGTCAGTTAAGTTTAGTGAATGGACTAACTGCACGATAGAGGGATGGGTGATCTTGTAAGTTTTTACTTTTGCATTCCAAGATGGTTGATTAAAAGGAAGATGGGAATATAAGGGTGAAATGGCTACATAATCAAGCCTATGAAAAGGCTCTACCACTAATACTACTTATGAGCTATGGTATGTAACAGAAAAGAACTATTGTTATTTTGAAGAAAGCAGTCTTTAACCCAAGCTTTCTCAGATGCTTTTGGAATCACTTTCCCTTCACACTGAAAGTTGGAGGTAGCTTAGGCAATAGATCTTCAGGCTGTTTTCTGAATATCCAGTCTTGCTTTATGATTAATATCCTAAAGTGGGGAAGCAGAAGATGGGATGGACAGTGGAGGTGTTCTAGAAGCCAGCCCAGGACTCCCAGCAGCTGCCACCCAGCTCTTACCTCACCAACCATCTTTACATCTTCCCGTCCGTACCAGTCTGGCTCGTAGACTTCATGCAGTGACTCAGTGAGCTTCATTGACGCCTCCTGCATGCCTGGCATTGGAGAAAAACAGTTCCTGTTACATGGCAAGGGAGAGGCTTTGCTCTCTCCTCCCCTGCTTTGCAAGGTGACAAAAACAAAACAAAAACCAAAAACTAAATGTGAAGGCACACCTACATCTTTCATTGAGAGAGTTTAAGTCTTAGGTTTGTTCTCATAATACACATTTTCAGTTACTTCACCAGGTCTCAGTAAAGTTCAACACTGTTATATTCTAAGAACTGCAATAACAACGTTCTGTAGTCAGTTGTTAAAGGGAAGCTGACAGTAAATATCTAGAACACTGAAATAGTAGAGAAAGCTGCAAAATGCTAAAAGCAGAATTAATCCTGAGTCACAGTATAAAATTAAAGTGCTTTTGAAGCAGGCAGGAAAAGTATAAATAGGACTTCAGTATATGTCAGCTGAAAGTGGTTAAATGATTTAAGCTGTGAAGTTGTTGAAAGTGGTTACAATTCCAAAGGAGCTTTTTGTTTTAAAATGACATGTAAATGTACTTTCTCAATATCTCTCAAGACTATAAATATAGTTTTGAATAAAACTTTTTAGAAAGCTTTGGCTTTATGAACCTAAGGGTCTAAATTTTCTTTACTCATTGTTGGGTTGCAAACATGCACTTACTAATAATGGTCATGATGTGAAGTTTCTCTGAGCAGCAGGGGTATAAATCAGCTCTCGGGCTTTGCAGTCACCACCCTCTTACCTCATCTCGGCATGGCCAGACCCAGCAAAGCATGGAGGAAAAGATGCAATTGCTGGGTCTGCATGGAGGTGGCTCATGAGTGACACCAGAACAATAGGCAAACAGTAGCTGGCAGGCCCAACCTGGCCACATTGGTGTCTAAGATTTTGTCACCTTTATTGGGGGTTGATAAAGGAAAGGAGAGAAACTTTAACGCAGTGAAGCAAAGATTGAAATAATTTGTAATTTGAAAACAGCCACATAATTGTTGGACAGTAGTCAGTTCTGGGCTCAGCAAGGAGTCTAAAAAGACAAAATAAAAGTGGTCTGAGATGATGCAATATATTCTAGAACAGTGAAGGGGGGCAGCACATACTTTGACATGTAACCTTATGTTTTCTGTATCTCCCTGACAATTGTACATAGATAATGGTCCTTGCACCCTTGAAGTTGTGTGTGCCTTGAAGCCATCTGAGGCGAGAATGCCTACAGTGAGGAGTGCACTCCTGAGCATGGCTGAGGATGTCCTTGACAATGAGGTGTGAAGCCAATGTGGCTGAAGAGACTTGCATGAACATGCCAGAGTGAAGGCAAAGAGAGCAAGGACAGAAGCCTCTGTGGAATCAGATGAAGCACAGGCATGCAGGTATAGACAAGACAAAGGTAATGCAGAACCCCTGTATTCAAGCAGGAAAAGACATATTCTCTCACAACTGAGATGACGGCTACATCATCCCATATGCTATATTCACTCCGACCCAGGGACATGCAATCTTGTACCAAGAAATATACTTCTCCTTTTTGTGACAAACACTAATTACACAACAAACACAGGTTGCTGTATTTCTATAATCCAGATGACAAAGGCTTCTGGTATTTTCTTTAGATCTCTGTCTGAGTGTGACAAAAATGATAAATAGCTAAGGAAACAGGTTCTGGACAAGTTGAGGGATGGAACTGTTAGTCAAATGACTTTTGTGGTGCAAAACGAAACTGATCTAAAAAAAATGAAATTGTGTAAGACTTTACTCATTGATGGCAAAAACACAATGTTACAATGCACATAGGCCTGATTCGACCGGATGTGCCAAAGTGGGTTGGTATGGGGGGGCTCCCCTTTCTGAGGAGAAAAGGATGGGAGAAAGAGGATAGGGGGGTGGGAATAAGAGGAAAGAAGGGAGGGGGTACGTTAATGTAAAGTGAATAAATAAATATAATTAATAAACACACATAATGTTACAGTCATGTTTCTATTAGACCAAACGGACTGTCCATCGTTGGGTGTATATGCAGAGGATTTGGAAAGAAGACATTTCAACATAGAAATGGATTCCAAGAAGTTGACTCCATAGGAAGCAGGTGGCTTGAGGTCCAAGTGAACAAGAGCCAGCTTTCCTTTTAAGGTGTGCAAAAACTTCTAGGGAGCTTCAACAGCTGGGAATTATTTCCATTTGAATGTGTTTCCCAAAGTTTATGTTTTAGAAACTTTTAAAAATTATTTATTCACTTCACATCCTGATTGGAGCCCCCTCCATCCTCTCCTCAAGGTCCCACATCCTCTCTTTCTCATCTTCCCTCCCCTACTCCTCCGAAATGGGAACCCCCTCCCCCAACCCATCCCAGCACATCATGCTGCATCAGGACTGAGTGCAGCATCTGCCGCTGTGGCCTGGCAATGCAGCCCCACCAGGGGAGAGTGATCAAAAAGCACAGAGACCATGTCAAGGACAGACCCTGGTGCCCTTCCTAGCAGACCCACATGAAGACTGGATGTGCAGGGATAAAAATAGAGTAGAGATTGAAGGAATGTCAACCAATGGCTGGCCCAACCTGAGATTCACCCCATGGGAGAAAGCCAACCCAAAGATATTCTGCTCTGCCTGTGGATGTGAGACTAGCATAACTGTCCTCACAGAGGCTCCATCCAGTAGTGGATTGAAACAGATTCTGAGACTCACAGCCAAACACTGGACAGAGTGCAGGGAATCTTGTTTTAGAAACTAAATATCCAGTACACCAGTGTTGGGAAGTGAGGTCTTCAAGCAGAGACCTTCAGGAGGCTCTGTCCTCAAAAAGTGGATTAATGTTGCTACTGAGCAAATAGGCTCATTATGAAGAGGGTGGGGCCTTCTAAAGAATGAGCTTGTCACTTCTCTCTTGCGCTTGCCCAGGGAATGCTTCTGCTGTGCTACGGTGCAGCATGGAAGCTTTCCAGATAGGAGATTTTGATCTTGAACTTCTCAGACAACAGATGAACCAATTCAGTGTCTATTCCTTATAAATTACACAAAAGAACAAAACCAAACTAAAACAAAGAACTTACTCTGATGGCAGAATATTACATAAAAGAACAAGGAGCTAAAACCCAGTTTTCTTAGAAAGTTATCTGTTAACCTTAGAGCAGAGTTCATGCTGAACTCTGACATTCATGATATTTTATAAGATTAGTAATTTTTAACATTGTATAGCAACTACAGAGTACCACATATAGAAGGAATATTCAATTCCTATTGGATAGGAGACTATTTTTAACATTGTATTGCAACTAGAGAATACCATATATAGGAGGATTATTCGGATCTTATTGGATAAGAGCCTCTATTGAAAATGTTGGGCTTTCTCCAAGGCATTTAGTAAAATAGATTTCCATTTGAGGCCAACTTCATGAACTTGTTTTAGTCCTCTAAGACGGATGGTAGATACAGCATTCCAATATGAGTATTCTTTGCTTGCGTACCCTCGGGGCATATGTTTGAGCCTAAAATAATATAGCTTATATAGAACAGTAAGCTACCACTGCAATAAACCTGGAGAATTTTGCCTCTTAAATCACATTACATGGTGTAACAGTGCTCTCTTCAACATCCACAGACTACCTAACAGAAACCCCAGTCCCTGGCAGAGAAAACTCCCTTCCTGTTATTGATCAGGGGTGTTCAGGACTCCTAAAACAATGTAGGCTACTGCCATTACCATTGCTTGCCTCCCAGAACTTGAAGGTAAAATGTTATTTCTGAAGACAACACCACACATTTCAGACATGGGGCTTGGAGGAATTAAGCTAGAACTGACCTGGGGGCCTCCTTCCTCTCTGAGGACTAACTAGCTCTCACAGTATTAGAAGTATCATGCAAGCAGCCAAGGAGAAAAGCAATCGATAGTCTTTCCCAAATATAAAGCGTATAAAACCCAGCAATGACAAGCATGAGAACACATCCCCAAATGAACAACAGTAGCACTTTTGCCTTAAGAGCTACCAACTGCTGTCTAATTAGATTTAAGGCTGTTCAATGGGAGGAAATTCATACTTGGCCTATTCATCCTATAAGCCTAGCAAACCACCAATGGGTGAAAGAGTAATGGACCTAGAGGATGGATAACCTACTACTGCCAATTTTCTAAATCAATATGGTTTCTAACTATATTCTAAAAACTTTATCCTCGTACTCAAAGTGTAGATTTTTATCCCTCATCAAAGAAGCTTATTTTATGCAGTAAGCAAAGGCTCCTACAGAGCCCCACAGAGGGCCAAAATGCAGAGAATAAGTGGTCGCAGAGAAACAAACTCCACTTGGCACATCTACAACACAACTTCTATAGCTAAGGTTCGGAGACTCTCACAGGAGAGGGGACAAGAAGGGTGAAAGAGCCAGGGATAGGGTACTACTTTCAAGATAGCGTTTGTGAATGCATCTGGTGGCTCAATGCTTCTCCGAAAATTGCCTCAGCTACCAGGATCCACTGGGCTGAAACCAGTTCTTTTGTGCCGCTCCTAAAACGCTGCTATGATGCTGTGTGCATTGCAGTTACTATCAATTAGCCAAAATTCTCAGTGAAAACAGACATCGACCTCAAATGAAATGTCTTCCAAAAGGTCAGTTATGATCTACATAATGCATATGTATACCCTGTGTCCCAACCCGAAATGTGTTCCAGGAAACATGGTTTATTCTTTTTTTTTTAATTTTATTTTTTTCTTATCAGTTACATTTTATCAACTCTATATCCCAGCCGTGTCCCGCTCCCTCATTCCCTCCCAGTCCCTCCCTCCCTCCCTCATCTCCACTGTGCCCCTTGCGAAGTCCACTGATAGGGGGGACCTCCTCCCCATTCATCTGATCCTGTTTTATCAGGTATCTTCAGGACTGGCTGCAAAGCTCTCCTCTGTGGCCTAACAGGACTGCTCCTCCCTTGGGGAGTGGGGAGGCCAAAGAGCCAGTCATTGAGTTCCTGTTAGAAATAGTCCTTGTTCCCCGCACTTTGGGAAACCAATTGGTTACTGAGCTACCACAGGCTACATCTGAGCGGAGG